ACTGGCATTGATTTGTTATTCAACAGCTCTATCAACTGTGTCTTTTACTCACCTTCAGACTGTATTCGTTCTCTTTTTTTGATACTTCCTTCATGGTAAATACTTCTGTGAAAGCTGTCATCGGTTTCAATTTTGTATCTTAGGTATGAACTCTATTGCTGATAATTACCACTATTCCAAGGAAGGAATTCTAATTACTGGCCTTTTGTATTGAAAATCAAATGATTTTTAATCATCCTAACCATGACACATTTTGGACAGTCACATTACATCAATACCAAGCTCTAGAAAGCTAATAATAAGTACTTTTTGGCTTTATAATTCCCAACTTATTTTTAATTTCGTAACCAGCAGTGTGTGAAATTTACTAGTTTTATGTTCTGCTGTGGTTTAGTTGATATACATCAAATTGTTTAACTGCGAATTGATTTTCAAAGAGCCTGAAGTCTAGAAGTTATGTACCTAAGTTACTTTCACACTTTCCAAGCTATCTATTTGTTTCAACACTGTTTACAGATTGATTTTTAAATCTAAACGCCTGCTATGCGTAGGGTCTTAGGTCAGGAAGCGATTTAGTCGGCGAAGTTATGAAGCCACATCGTTTTAGATTTCTGGGACACGTATTGCGCATATTGGGTCACTGCTTTCCTCGACAAGCAATGTCAGCTGATGTAGGGTTACGTAAGAAAAGAGTTAGTAGTGGTCAATTAAACTGTAAAATGTCCCATTATTGGTTTCAAGGAGGTGTAGGCTACCTCGCTGAAGTACTTGACACTGAACTAATGGAGACAATTTGTAGTTCAAGTGGATGATTTTGGTTTAGATGTGTTCTTTGAGTTGGTTGATTTAATTGAGGAGCTTTCGTTGTCCTTCTAGACAACATCTTCAGTGCAGGTTTTAGTATGAAATGAACTTGTTTGAATTCCCATGAATGGTATTTATTTGTATGTCCTGACAACCATAGTTGTGATTCTACAATGCATCGATATGAATAAATACATATCGTCCCTTTTCACAGCTGATTTATGTTCTTGGATTCAGACACGAAGGGTATGTCCACTTTGACCTATGTAACGTTTATCCCAGTCCATACCATTTATTTTGTAAATGGTATTGATTTTATCTTCTTTTTCTGTTGGATCCATAATAATTTTTTCATTGGATTACTCAGAAGTGGCTTTAGAAGTGAAAATTAAAAGTTGTAAATTACTTGGTACTCAACGGCACAATCGATGGGGAAATGGGGCGACTCAGACAAGCCCTCATAGAGCATGGATATCCTCCAAGATTCATCCAGAAAAACATGAAGTTAAGGTAAAAGCCTGAAAGAACCCAGACGGTGCCAAAGAAACTGCTATTTATGGGTGTTGAATTTAAGGGTGATACCGCAGCTGAGATCTTGAAGAATCGCTTATGCAGATCACTGAGGAAAGCCTTCTTTATGGCTGAACTACTTATCAATTTCTACAGCCAACAAATGATCAATGGATGTGTCAAGGATAAACTGCCGCTTTGGGCCACCTCAATGTGTGTTTATAAATCCACCTGCCGCACAAAGAGTAAACTTTCCAAACACATCTCTGAACATTATCCGGCATGGTTAGCAAAGGGACAATGCAAGGCAATTACTAGATCAATTCTCGAGCATTTGGTGAACTCAGGCCACGTAGCTCCACCAGAGTCGTCTTTCAAGATCATCTACAAGGTGAAGCCAAATGGTACAAAGGGCGTCAGGTTTCGGCTTTTGTGAATGGCGGAGGCATTGTCAGTTCGTCAATACAACCCCGAACTCTGTATACAGAAAAAGTTTGTCCAGTCTCTTATTCTACCTTGATCTTAACCTCTTCACTGGTCGTTCCCTGTAAAAAAATTGATTTTTTTCTTTTCTTTTTAATTTTTAGTTTTACTTTAAAATTGCTTTTGCTTGAATAATTAATTCACTATTATCACTCTCATATGTGCCTTTTGTACATTTTCACACCCTCTTCGTACTTGTTAAATTGACACTAAAATACCTTTATTCTCACTCAATAGCAATTTTAACCTTATCAAATTTCTCTCTTTGGGCCGTTGAGTACCAAGTAATTTACAACTTTTAATTTTCACTTCTAAAGCCACTTCTGAGTAAATATATTAATTATGTCACCCCCTATTACTCAATAATAGACCACTATATATTTTTTGGAAATACAAATACGACTGTACAGCCTCTGAAGATGATTTCGTCGATAAAGAAAATTTTCTTCGCTGAATTTGTCTTTTATTTTCTTCATGACTCAATGGGTATTTTCGGTGATTTTTGAACACAGCTTATGTTTATAATCATATTAATTGTAACTACATAACTTTGAAACTCAATTTTTATAGTTCTCATTATTTCCTCCCATTTGTTGTGAGGGTATTAGAATTTTCCAGATGTTCCGAACAGATGTCGTATCATTCCTATTGAATGTATTCTCAGCTGATCCAATAAATAAAACTTCAGTCTTCAATCTCTCCCCTCACGCTTTTACAGCAGAATATTATCTTGTCCTGTCCTATTGTATGATTGTATATGGCTACATATAATGCCATACGTGAGCTTCTTTCTAGATTGCTTATCTTATGTAGGTCCAATAGTCCTGATTTCACTAAGTGTGCCATGTTTAAAGTTAGGAAGAAGAAGAAGAAGAAGAAGGGAGTCCTGGTTAAGGTTTTTGTCCATTTAGAATTCATAGACCATCTGTAACATAATGTTTGAACGTATTGGTTGATTGTAACTGATATAGTTTATTTCAGACTGACAAAAAACACAGAATATAGTTAGATTAAGGCTAATTTATTCATTTTCGGAGAGCATAAGTATTTCGCCCTAGTAGAATGAACGCAAATTTAAATACAGTCAAACATGTTCAAATAAGACACTGACAAGAAAAAGAGATTTATAAGTTATGACTTTCGGACATAACTAATAAGGGTTTTCTGAATATCTTTTTTCTTTTATTCCTTCATGTTCCCAGTGAAACATAGGGCCCCAAGCTAGAAGCTTGAAGTTTCTGTAGTAGTGTTTATTTTTACAGGAGGAAGTTGCTAGCCTCGTGCCCAACCTTTCCTCTCTATCAGGTTTTTATTTTTGGCTTAGCGAGGTACAGGAGTGCGTCGGCTGGAATTCGAACCCCGGACCATGTGCATGGTCGGCGAGCGTCCTGACCGCTATGCCACCGACGCACTCTGAATATTTTAGTCGGTAACAAATAAACGTAACTCATAGAAAAATGGAAATATAACTTACTATTAGTAATTTAAATAATTCTGCTTTAAGTTATCAGTCATCCGAAATCGCATGAATTTTGTACTAATAGTAATTGTAATTTCTTGTTCGCAGCGTTACAAGGTTTTACATATAGATAGGCTATTCCTACACCTTTAGGGAGATCAGGGAAATTCATGAAACTGGTGAAACTTGCAATCACTCATTTTTTTCGTTCACCTTGTTTATCTCAACTTTCAGAATTCGATGGGTTCGTGTTGGATGAGACCTTTGACTGATAGTTGTATTGCGCTGTGGTCCTAAATTCCTATGATGTTTAACTTATCTTTCCTGAAAAATGTATTCTTACGAAGGCACATTTATTCAGTTCTCCATTCATTAATTGATCAGTGTTAGGAGCGGGTTTTCCCACCAAGCTAGGATAGCTCAGGCTAAATATCTATCTGATGCCATCGTCGAGACATAGCATTACCGGAGAAAGTGATCACATGAATGCAGTCATGAGCATTATTCCTAGGTGGAGCCTTCCAGCGAATCAGCTCGCAGGGTCTCATGGTGAGAAACTGTTTTATGCACGGCTATTATGACAAGTGTTCAAATTCCTATATGCACAGTTCACAAAAATAGATTTGCATATTGGCTTATAAATTATATGCATAGATATGTACATATATATATATATATATATATAATGGCTAATCCTATAGATGGAGTCACGTCAGGGAGGATTTTAATTTAGGCCTAAGTTAGTTTTGCCGTATTCTAGAACTCTCACGATATCTCGACAAATTACTTTATTTACTGAAGGCAGTAAGCAGGAATATTTTCCTACTTTGTCTCATTATCCAAAGAGAAACATCTTACCGAAGAGGATAAATACCTAATGTTACACCACTTCGCCTTTTTGTTTATTCTGATGGGGCGGAAACATTTGCCTAGAACGCATTCCTGTAATAGATGATGATTATTAAATATACTCCATTTCATCATAGTTGATATGAAACTTCAGTCTAGTGAGTGTAGTTGTAATCTTCGCTGTCAATTTTACTGAGATTTACAAATTCTGTTTTTTTAAAAATTATTTTATTCCTTTACGTTCCCAGCGGAACATATGGTCTTAAGCCAGAGCTTTGAAGTTTCAGTTGCGGTGGGTTTCTTATGGGATAGCGTTGCTAGTTTAGTGCTCAACCTTCCCTCTTCACTGGCCTTACTACCAGCTTAGCGAGGTCTAGGAGTTTGTCCGTGGGGGATTGAACCCTGGACAATATGAGTGGTTGACGAGCGTTCTACTGTTGAACCACCGACTCACTTATAAATTCTCTAAGTGTACAATATTCGACCAAGTACACAGATGAACTTGCCGGACTGTTAGAATTTTAGGCTGCCAACTCACCCCCTTCTGCTAAATATACTTCATTTTAATCATTTAAAGTTGTCTTCAGATTGCGTCATTTTCACCGAAGCATTTTTGTCAGCATATCAATCCGTTACTTTTTTACATGCTGTATAAACTCGTTAGATGACAATGAGCAGTGAAGCATGCAAATATATATTAAATGTCTATCTCTGAATTAATTATCAAGAACAGCAGATTTCGTGGTGACTTTTGCTTGATTTGTTGCACTATAAAAATGCTAACAGTGTCAATCTGTATAAACTCTTTTCTAGCAGCAGACTGATTATTTATCATTGTAATTATAATAAAAACATTTCAGATAAGAAAATTCATTTTTATTTACAAAAATGTTTACTTGAATGAATGAAGTAAATATCACACAGTTTTCAATTCACAGTTGGAATTTTTCAGTACAGAATCGAATTCATAGTCATAACAGTCACTACCAGCATTATTGTTATCAGTGTTAGCACATTTATTTCTTATATATTCTTCAAATCTTATATCCAGTGATAGTAATTCGTCATCATCTTCATCAAAGTCTTCGTCAATATCATCATCGTTGGCACCGTCAATACCGTTAACATTTCTCATTTTGTTACAGTTACTTCTTTGATTATATTCCAATTCAGATGATACAGTGGGATGGAATTTGTTGTGTGTTTTATTACCATCCCTACTATAACGAGAACTGTTTTGAGGAGTATATTTATTGAATAAAACAACAGCTTCATTATTTAGATTGAAGTTGTTAGCACTGCTAGTCTGACTTTGAGTAGTATGACCGATGAATTGTCTTGTTTTTCTATAATTCCATGCAGTCATATAATCAGACACTGAAGGAACTCTATGTCCAGAGAATGTAGCTGGTAAATATGGTGATGTATATTTATTTGTATTAGTTAATGGAATGAATTTTAATGAATTGTTTAGATTTTCATCTAATGGCTTTGGACCAAATACTTTGTGAATTTTACAGTGTAATTTGGCTTTGTGTGCATAAATAAAAATTCGTAATGGGAATGAGCATAATAAAAGTGTTGCTATTAAATAGGTTATGCCTTTCAAATAAATTGGTGGCTTTGAGGACTTGTGCATTATTAGCATTTGTTCTGGGAATTTCACTGTATCCGAAAACGTGCATACTAAAAATGAAATTAAAAAATATTGATGAATATATACATACATGTATCCTTAAAGCGATGATAATATGTGACATATATTCATAAGTTTATCAAGTTGTTTCCTAAAAATTAGCAGATACAGAGTGATAATTGTGACCGAAAAGTGTTCGGTTTAGTTGTTATTTTGTGTTTCCTGTTGACTGATTATAATGGGCAGAAATACTCAGACCCTGCTGACATATCGGCTCCTAGCACGGTTGCTTTGACGATGTCCAAGGATTAAAATGACGGTGTTTCGTTGAAGTTGATTAGCATCAGAATCCTGCATACTCAGCGATGGTAGCTTTATTTATGCAATAAATCGTCTACATATCTGAGTTAATTTGTGTATTACATCATCTTGTGATACTTATATTTCGTTTAATAGTTGTTTCTGGGCTTCTGTAAGAATTAGTCCCATTAGTTCAATCCGGTTATTAAACGTTTACCACAATGTAAAGGTCATGTAACAAGTAAACTGTTAAATTATGTGGATCAGTGATATGCTGTCGCATATAATGTTTATTTATTACAAAAATGGCAACAATAAACGAAGCATAAATCAAATATTTTGTTCTCTTTGGATTGTTCAAATATTTAGACATTAAGAGTTGCTAAAAGATTAGCTTTAACGAATCAAGTTATGCAAAGCATTTTTAACATATTTATGAAGATATAAATCTCTGAAAGATTAAAGTTACTATTAGAACAGAGACTTCATACAACATATCCTTGCTTCCCTATAAATGCATATGTAATTTACAAACAGTGATATTTTCTCAACCAACTATAAGTAATTTAACTGGTGGATGGTGACTAGCAGTGGAATCCAGGATGCGCATTTCGTCCTCTTTGGGACTCGTCATCTGGATGTACCTGCATTTCTCAGTGAGTGATGATGTTCCCACCGAGCTTAGAAGCCGACATGTCAACCTGAGACCGAGCACTTCGGTCCAATCAATCGACGGGAAAATAATCTATAGGTAAGTTTTACTTCTGGTCACTATTTTATTGCATATTTCCTGCGCTTAAATAAATCACTTGACGATTTTTGTAGTCACTTTGATGCAGCATGATGATTTAATCAGTAGACCTCTTTACTTCTTTTTATTCAGTCTTACAAAGGGTTAGGGTTAAAAAACTTCTGAAGAGTTATTTCCATTAACATTGGCAATAATTAATTCCGCCTCATTAGAATTTAATGTAGGAGATACTTAAAGGTATTGCTGAAAAAAAATACTTTTGCTAACATATATATAAATATAAATTTGTTTGTCATGTCACTAGCTAAAATGTTTCTATCGGATCAAATAAAAACCGGGCAGACAGATGTATAGTTTAACGTAGTCTTAGCTCAGCTTTTACTTACGTTATTTAAGAATATAACTATTTATTTCAAACTGTGCCATCACATTCAGTCTCCTATCTGTGCTGTCTACTTATACAAAATTAATAACTAATGATTCATGATTAGGTATCGTTTCTAAAAGTGCCACGATAACAGGTCATAGTAATTTATCATTCTGAAAATTTGTTCCTAAAATGATTTATTACTACAAAATGTAACATTGTATTGTTCCTTCGGGTTCCCAGTGGAACATAGGGCTTCGACAACACATTCCCCTTTTGCTCTATTTTCTGCTCTACTCTTCAGGTGGGTCCATGACTGCCCATAATTTCTCATCTCCTCCAACTCGCACGATCTTCTTCATGCCACCCTAGGACAATCCACTCATCGTTTTCCATTGGTATTCACTCGAGAGATGGCCTGGCGCGCGATGTCACTCGCCTAGTTTACTAGTTCGCTAGCTTTCTAGCCGGTCCCAAGTCTGGGTAAAGAAGGAGGTTTGGGCGTGGGGCTAGCGATCCTATCCTGCAAAATAGATGAAACTGCTACAGAAACTTCAACGTACTACAAAAATCAATAAAATGAAATCTGAATAAGCAAAACATGTGATAAAGTAAACATATATGACCTCCACTAATGATAAATTTAATAATATGGATTATTTTGTCTATTCTGCTTAAATCTAGAGTCAAACAGAAATGACGAATGAGTATGGGTAACGCATTTTAGTATTTATTCGCTTTTTAAAGAGTTTCATTATTTCACCTGAAACAATGAACTCTATTAACTGCAATTAACGTTTTCCATGATTATGGAGGGGTTCAGTTAGAAAGCGCAAAAGTTAGAACATCTTCACAGAGATTTCTAAAGGATCTAATACTAACTAGGAAACAATCAAATATGCGAATTTTCTGGTCGGTGGCTTAATTTTAATATACGACAAAAAATGAAAATCATGATGTGAACAAAAGAAGGAAGTAAATCATTTACAGGACAAAAACAGCTTGTTTTAATTCATGGTTTTTTGTGGCTACCAACAATTTGGAATCAGTAGATGTATTATAAATAAGTGTAAATATAAATAATATACTTTAACACAATAAGTATCGAGATCGCAGATGTTACGGATTTCCTAGAATAATTTGAGCAGTGAATCAAACTGAATCACTATAAATTACTTAGAATAATCCCAGAGTGCTTAAGAAAAAGTCTCGTTTCTTCCTAAGCATGCTGGGATTATTTTAAGTAATTTATAATACTTAAACGCTGTTTGAATCAGAAGTTCATCAGTTTTCAGTTCATTATTGGTGTCCCTCTCTGATCCTGCTTTCTTTCTATATACAGAGACCAGATTGTAACTAGTGGACTGGAAAAGCTTTTGTAAACTTAAATTATAACAGTTTCTCCAGTAAATTTTCCTAAAATTATGCCTAATTCTCATTTTAGGAGATGACGTTAGTAAGACTTTTGTTGTATTTGGCTTGCATAAATTACGAAAACTTTTAAATTTATTTGTTGAAAGATATCTATTGTATGTGAAATATCATTTAGAAGTCAACAGTTTAGTTAGTAAATTTTTGGGATAGGTTTGTGTTTCAGCATAAAGAAAATTACACTGTGTCAGGAAGTTCAACCAAATTTTTCACAGTAGTCCTTCATAGAAACGATCAGTTAGGGCTTATAAAGTTTTTTCTGGCAGCGTATTTGACCGCGAAGTTTCAAATGCAAACCAGTTGTCTTCAAAATCTCACTCATTGTTTGCTAATAAGGGTTCATAAATCTGGAAGTCAGGTTTATTCCACTGAGAAGGAATAGTGTCGTGGCATGTACCACTGAAATTGTAGACGTAAAGTAAACTAAGTGATATTTGTAGTTTGGATTATTTCAAAACAAATAGTCTGGATAACTAAGTTTGCTATTCAAGGAGAAATCTTTGCCTACGGTATAAATAAGTTCACTAAGAGTTAAATAAAGGGAGATTTTCAGCAATTTATACACTACTGATAGAAATGAGTACTTGGTAGTCAACCATGCCAATAAAAATTGTTCTCCGACTAAATGACCATTTCCATGTCAGTTTAAACTGATTCCGTTACCTCATCATCTTCAATTCAGCATGCCGTCAATGGGTTGTGTTAGAAAAAACAGTTTTAAGCGATGAACCAATTCTCAGGCGAACTACACCAATAAGCTTTTTAGGTCTCCGGCATAACTGACTAATATAGACGAATTGGGCACTTGATCGTATCCAAACAATCCGTCTGTTATCTAGATAAAGGGCTCTAGAACAACGTCAACTTCTTGGTCTGCTGCAAATGTGACATATAAGTACGTCATTGCTGCAGCAAGAGAATACTTGCCAACTACGCATGTGGGTTCGATGTCCTGCTGACAAACTTCTAAAGCTCTCTTAGCCAGTAGTAAGCTCGTTAAACTTAGAAGTTTTCCCGTGAAGCTGGCGAACCCATCCCGCAAAAAGGAACAGCACTATTACTGAAACTTGAAAACTCAAGCTTGAAACCGTATGTTACCCTGGCAACCTAAAGGAATAAAATAAATTAATAATACGTATTAATGGGATTCTGTAAGTTTTGATTATATATTCACTGAAAGGATAATCACATTTTTATGGTAGGAAAGCAGATTTATTCTTATTTAGATACTAAATACTAAATTACTTTCCAACTGTGCTTAGACAATCTATATTATAGGCATTTAATATTCAACAACTGGATAACACTAAGTTAATTTGTAAAAATTTGGAGGCTTACTTTGTTCTGTTTCCATGTAAATATCAAATTTTTCATATGTTGTAAAGAAATCTTGTTTTTGTCTTTGAAATTCCAAAAAGGTTTGTTTATCAGAAAAACTGAATAATGTAGTCAGATTTAACTCAATCAACTTGAAATTTTCTAATTTACTAATATAATCAGACATATCCCAGACAGAGTCGATTTTCGATATATCAAATGAACACATTTTATTCATACTTATTATACGTTGGCATTTTATCTGATGAATATTTGACTCACAGTATGGAGAAAATGTTTCATCAGTTTTTCTTAACTCTATTGTAGATTGATCAGTTTGTTTATTTAAATTATTTAAGGTATTATCATAATTACCTTGAACAAATGAATGTTTATCTGAATTATTTGAATTGATTTCATTTGAAATAACACACTGTTGGTCTTTTTGTTTTTGATTACTTTGAAACTTACGATGTTGTTCTGTTGTATTATGAGCATAATGATAACATTTAATTTGCCAAAATATAGACGGAATTAACTTGTGTGCATATTGTACTAAATTATATGCCATATTTGTATCAACTAACCATGTAGTTCGAATCCAATTTCTTGATTGCCATGATTCAATTAAATAAATTAAATAAATTAGGAATATTAAACCACTGATAATTAACAATGAGCTTGTCTGACAAAAATACAAGGTGTTCTCTGCATTATTATTATTATGATAGGAATGATGATATTTTGGGTATGAGTTAGATGAATGTATAAAAGTGATGATTCTTTGAATACCACATGATGATATTATGCTTATACCTGTTAATATAATAATAGTAAGACATGCACATCTCCATTCAGCTAACGCATAATGCATACATTCTCTGTAAGTACGTTGCACAGGAACCTGCTTTTAATTTAACAAAGAAGAAAAGACTATTGATAATATATAAAAACGTTAAGTGAAATTCGAAATATCAGTGAAATATACAACTGGGATTTATTTAGTTTATACACGTAATTAATAATTTATAAATGAATAATTCACACTGGTTTATCAATGAAACGTGTTGACAGAATGCACTGAGATAGCTATTAGTCACTTAACTTGATGACCGTATTGTTAAACTGTAATGATAAAATTCAGTCAGCACCAAGGCTGAGGACTAGACATATGTCAATGGTTAGTCCCCCTACAGCCCTTGTGATCAATCAGTGCATGCTGATACATCTTTTATGTAAATCATTCTGAGAAACTTTAGTCCCAGGTAATAATTATAAGTAATTTCAATGTTATTACACATTAATAGTTGAAAAAGAAATATTTTAGAAAACTGAGCAAATCACTCACACAATTTGTATTTCATACAACCGGTTCCCTTAATTAGTTAGAACAAAGAATGAAAGAACACATTTGCGGGATAATATGAGCTCGTTTTATTTTGTGGATTCTTTTCAACTGCACACATCCTACACATTATGATGATGGAATCCCATAACCAATCAATCAAATCCTTACAAACCATTACCTGAATATCGATGAGATGCTCACTAGTGAGTAGCGCTATTCAGGTGGGTAGTTTCCTGGGGTTAAAGTGAGAAGTCATGACCAGTAGAGTACAGCAGGTCGGACGTGAGGAGAAATACCCGTCGGAGACATTGGCTGGTGTTCTCGCTATGTTGTGAATTGGAAGAATTTGGAACTCATGGGCTGGTCATTGCATCGGGTCCCAGTGGCTTAATGGTCTACGAGCTCGCTTTGTAACCGGAATGTCTCGGGTTCGAACCCTGGCGGGGTGTGAGTACTACCGAAGAGTCCCAGACTGGGATGAAACATCTGTCAAGTACTTCCAGGTTTTCAAATGGTTCTCTAACCGATGCCAGTTCATGATGAATTCCTGTAACCAATCAATCAAATCTCTACAAACCAATACTTGAATATCAAAAGGTAAGTTTCGAAATTTCTAAACATGCTTTTGCCACAGTGATTGTGAGTTACAGATAGAAAGTATAAGCAAGAGAATTTTGAAAAGAAGTAAATAGACAAACTGGTCAGTGTTAAAACCCCAACTATTTATAGTTCAATTAGATGAGAACGGGATAGAGTTCAGATTGTTTTCGGAAACAGTGGCTGACTGGAGACAAATTACAAGATAGAACAATGAAGTGAATTTATGCAAATTACGATGGAGAGTTCAAGAGAATGGTAGTGATTACTAAAGTGAAATTATGATGTAGACGAACAGTTAAGCAAATATGAAAACTTAATAGTGAGTTAAACTAAGTAAGTAAAAATTGAAATATTACGCAACAGAAAAAAACACAAAAGCACACGAACAAAACAGTTACAGTTACCAAGGCAGTGAGTGATTAGTCAGTTTATCTTTCTGTACACAGAGTTTAGGCCGAAGGCTTTTGATGGCAGTGGCTTCTGAGAACAGAATAAATGGAGGTCTTTTTGTGTATTGAGTATTTTGAAAGCCTTACTAATTTCCACTGTATTTCTCGTATCAATTAGGTATCTGGCAATTGCATCTAGGAACACGATGCTGTCTTTCACACGGAGATTTTTAGGGATATACATGGAGAATATAGTAGACGCTCTCCTCCGAATCCTTCCTACGTACAGATGAATTTGTAGATGTAGCGGGAGTTCACCTGATCAAGATGCTTATCTGCTTTTGAATGACTTAACTAGCATATAGTTTTGTAAAGTGGAATAATTCTGATGGAGGGAAATGTTCTCCTCAATGCACCCTTGATTCAATTTTTGGTTCTTCTGGACACTTCGTCCCTTTCGTACACTGGACAGATAAAAACTGGTTTCTTTTCAGCTGTTTCGGATTTCGGTCTAGGTATATTTCCACTCCCAGTTTTAACATGGACTTTTTGGAATACCCATTTTCGATAAAGTTCTTTTCGATAACCGAGAACTGCTCTTCAATCTTATTTTCCGAACATATCACCCTAGCTGTACTAAAAAGCGTTTTAACCTGGTCAGTTTTCTGGTCGACTGGGCAAAAACTGTGAACTGTTCTCTATATTTATCAAAATGAGATTGACTCTATTTTCACGACTGATCACAAACTGATTTCAATCATAAAACCACTGAGATCGAGATAATCCTGTACAGTTATTTCGTCCCTATTTGAAACTTCTCAGCGGTGCGCCCTTGTGATCTCACAAGGGATTGAAATCAGGACCTTCAGGCTGCAAGGCTGTAGACCATCGAGCAACTGGGACGGAATCCAATGGCCCATTAGTGTTTGCTTCTGAGAATCCTGTTTTATCACTGTGTACACAGCATCTGCCGTCGTATTAGTTATAAGCTTCTTCATGAACCATTGAGTCTATTTCCGTATTATAGTCTCAAAAAGGGATTTCTTTCTGTATAAATTTCCTGTCATTCCACCTTGTAACTTATCTAAGTTTACTCTGAAATAACATTATGGTTTTCCAGTGTAAAATGATTTGTGCTTTTTATTAGCTATTGTGTGATCTGATAATATCTAAAGCACAATAAAAATATAAAATCGAAGGGGATGATAATGAAGAAAGTATTTAGTCAGTTGCTTTCAGTTTTAAGTACATAACGAGAATCCTTAGGTAAGTACAGATTATGGTAATGTTATCAATGTTGAAGCCAATAATTACCAAGCGAAAACAGCATTTAATGCACACAGCTAAGACTGAGTTTTCTTCGAGAATAGAATGTTGGCACTGTGGTAGATTTTAAACTTAGAATAGTTTTATTTGATATGACACATGTTAACGCGCTGTTTTTGGGGTTGTTAAGGTTATAAGTAATAAATATTTCTTTATTCCATATTCTATTATATTCTGAAAACTACAACACTTTCAGGCAAAAGAACTTATAATTAATAATGCACTTAAAAAATGACACACACTGATAGAAAAACAATTCTATGACTTTCAGTGAAAAGTTCCAACCATATAGAATATTTGTACATGATAGTGTGTCAGTTTGATTTTTAAGTCCATATGCATTTCGGTTTCATTTTATTTACTGCCATAATAATATACAGTGATAGCCCTTCCATGATGTTATTTGGTTTAATGTGACTAGAAGTGGTATCCAGGATGGACATTTGGGACGCGACAATTGAATGCTCCTGCGTTCCCATTGAGTGATGGTAAGAACACCGTTAGGCATCGTCGAAGCATCAATTCTAGGATTTGAAATGTCAACAGATAGCAAAATATATCTGTCCAAAATATTCAAACAACTGGATACAAAAAATAACGTAAAAACAAATGATAACTACCAATTTCAGCTGGATAACGTCTATATTCTAAGCTTTAACTTTCTTTTTGCTTTAACTGTGAAGTGATTTGAGATGCATAACTCACAGATTGCCTTCATTTTAGAGTATGTGTACCTGCTTATTATATTTCTGAGTAGTTATAAGTGCTTAATATCATAGCAAGAATGAGAAGTATTTAAACTTTATCAGATTTCGATATGTCCAATTTTAAATGCCTAGTAAGTTAATTAAGGGCAAATACTTGAAGGCTTTCAAAGATTGATAACATCGAGTTTTATAAATGCATCAATTTATAAATATTTACTTTATATAAATAAGGTGACAGAAAAAGCAATAATTTTAAAAGCTTTTTCTAAAGTCAGAAATAATTATTCATCAATTCCATATTAGCAATCTTATTTTCTGAACTGAAAAAATTGATACCATTTTCCATTTCCGATTCACCGTCATCGTTAAAAGCTAATTTTTAACACATATTAGAATCTGACGAAAATTATAAGTGGGCTGATAACTGGAAGAATCAGATAGCAGAACTACTATACCGATAAATGTTTTAAACGACTAAAATGTTTACCTACTGTTGTGTTAGCCTACTGTTTCATGATAAATGTTTAGTAATTTAAACAAATCAAACTTTCTTTTATTCGTCTTTTCGTAAATTGTAGCTTATCGTTAAGCACACTGCAGAATGACTTCAATCATTTAATTATGCTTAAATCAAAGTGATTACACAGGTGGAAAAATAATTTTTAACCCTGTTGCTTACCTTAGTAAGTAACATGTATACTTGTGTATATGCAGAGCTTGTGAAAGTGTTTTGATTAAATACATTTAGTACCTAATCAACCGATGACAATATCTTTACTTTTACTAACTGTCTTATCATTGGGGGTCGTAGATAAATCCAGACGGCGAGTCCCAGATAGGGAGAATCCACATCCCAAATCTCACTATTAATCACAATTTACGAAAAAATCTCAACATTTTATTTTCTTAAAGTATCTGTGATTACTTGCTCCTACTGCATTTAAATATTTCATCTTTATATTATGGATTTTAGGCGTGGTTTACCACAATATTATTAAGGTTATTTTTGCTTCAGTAACTAAGAAAACTTCTACAACTAGCTTTGGTTGGTTTATTTGGGATTAAATTTATCCAGACATATTTAATACTAATATAATAACAAAGCTTTATTTCAGTCAACATGTCAGCACATCGTACAGAAATTTTCAGCACATTTAGTTCCAAAATATTTCGTCTTCTTATATGAAGAGGGAATCAGTGGTGTTTGTTCTTTCTTCATTTCTTTCCAGAGTTGCACAGCATTTTGTTGAAAGCTAGTTAACTATTTGCGCCAGTTCATGTAGTGATCATCTGATTTAATTTCATGAATAAAACATTTAGAAATCAAGAATAGTTTAAGCATTTTGATGGATGGGAATTCTGGTGGCTCAGTCATTTAAGTAGGCTGCCGTCAAATTAAAGTCCTCCGATTAGAAACAGTCTTTTTAATACTAACCTAGTCAGAATATCTGATTTATTTCCTAACATGATCAAATAATATGTGAGTAGTGTGGCTAAAATATGTTTGTAAAGAATTTTTAGAAATTTTGAGTTATTT